TAACTTCAAGGGGTTATGATAACATGGTTTACACTATAATTATGTTTGTAAGAGAGCTAACTTCAAGGGGTAATGATTACATGGTTTACACTGTAATTATGTTTGTAAGACAGCTAATTTCAAGGGGTAATGATAACATGGTTTACACTATAATTATGTTTGTAAGAGAGCTAATTTCAAGGGGTAATGATAACATGGTTTACATTAGAATTATGATGTTTTTTTAACTTATATAAAATATAGAAGAAACAAATCATTATTTCAATACCACTACGACCTCTGCAGTGACTTATTTAGTATTCTCCAAAAGGTTTGGGTGGCAAGAGAATAATAAGTATTAGAAGAATTACAAACGCGCCGTTTAGACCAGATTTTCTTTTCTTTGCGAGTCTAACATGCGTGCTTTTTTGTGCAGTTTTATACGTGTACAGCCTTAGCAGTCAATAGTAAAGGTTTCAAAGTGTTGTTTGAACTGAATCTTTACTGTTTAATAGACCAGAGTTAAAACACATTTAAAATTATAATTTAATTAATGACGGCAGTTCTTAGAAACGCCCAGAAGTATTATAAATGAATGAACCAGATAACTAAGTCATATAATGATTAGATTGAATTGAATCAGCGATTGATCACATTTGTTGTTAACGGTGTTTTCGGCCGTATAATTAGGAAACTGTAGACCACCACCTGGTGGTGATATTAAACATTAATCTTTTTCTTCACGCTCCAACAGTTTTGTGTATGATCTATATGTGAATGCCAAGGGCCGGGCGTGGCTCAGTGTTTGCGTCTCGTTATCGTAATATATATATATTTATATCGCTCTGTACTTCGTGGCTGTAGGCGCGTTATAAGGGTGTTGGTCAGATCCCATTATTCGGTCAGATAAGAGTATCCTAATAGTTGGCGGTGGGTGCTGTTGACTAGCTGCCTTCTTTCACTTGAAAACTAGAGACGACTAGCGCTAACAGCCCTTGAGTTGGTTTTCGCGAACGACCAACATAAAAATGGTTATCACACAAATTATGGTAATGTTTAATTGGTCACACTGGTGTCCAATAAAAGATGAGTTTTATATGAAATTAGTACACATGCATGAGGACTGATAGAATAAGTTTGTTTGAAGTTATATACCATGGGCTATCTGTGCTCTGCCCACCACGGGTATCGAAAACCGATTTCTAGCGTTATAAGTCCGCAGACGTACCGCTGTGCCACTGGGGGCTTGAAAGAATATGTTATAAACTCCGATGGTCTAAGCCCCTTAGTGGCTCACTGATTAGTAAGCTTATAACACTTAAAATCGGGTTTCGATACTCGCTGCGGGCAGAACACAGATAATCTATTACGTTGCCTTGTTTTTAACATATAAGCATACCAATGGCTTGAGGGATAAATAAATTCCTATATTTTAGTGATATCATGAATATAATATTAGTTTCCGTACACGTCTGTTTTAATAATTGCATCAATAAAAAGTTTGAAAGATGCTACTGAAAATAAGCAAAGTTTATTGAAAATGCAACAAAATCCTGAGTTGAAAGTTTGATTTGGTGCCATTGTCAAGATGTTTCCAAATCTAGTAACTTTTTTGTTTTATCGTTTACCAAATATTAACGCAATCAGTTGTTATTATTTAGACAATTGTAAGATATTTTAAAATTATTTATGATTTGAGCGCCATAAAAGATTCAAAACAAGAATAGTTACAACTTGTTTGTTTGTTTGCAATTAGGCACAAAGCTACACAATCTGTGCTCTGCCCACCACGGGTATCGAAACCCGGTTTCTAGCGTTGTAAGCCCGCAGAAATACCACCGTGCCACTGGGAGGCAACAATTTGATTAAATAAAAGAAGCACCACAAGTATGGCAAACATTTTAACAGGTATATTTATAACAGTAGACGTTTCGGAATCTAGAAAATCCCTCATCAGTATACACTAAAATAAACTCAATAACTGAGAACAGTTAAAGGGTAATATAAATAAAGGTTAAAAATAAAAGAATAAATAAACAGAATATTTACGTCTAACAATTTCTGATAAAACATCTTGTTGGGGGTTCACAGCCCGTGAGTCATCAGAAAAATATAGTTCATCTTTGATATCAAACTCGTCGATCCAGCACCTTTCTGCAAACACAAATTGTACTTATTATCTATCTATCTATCTATATATATATATTGCGAACCGTGGTGTCCGTCCGAGCGTTCGTCTGTCTCCCGTTTGAAAAGCTGCGCAACGCAGGCAAAGCTCAACATTTACTTTTGAAATGACGGGAGAACAGACATGAATAATGTTGATGCCAAATTTTATTTCACAAGCAGGATATTCTACACTAATTTGTTATGACTTAATCACACTATCATTCACATTTCAAAATGCAGATTTACCGTATGTTATTGTTGAGTGGCTCTTAGCATGACTAAAATGTTCAACAATGAATTTTCGCAGTGGGTGGTATAAGTAGCTCAGAGTTTTGGCTCTGAGTGAAACCAAGAGTGCAACACAATTATACTTTTTAAAGTCCATGAAATAATTTAAATTGATAGGTTAACTTAAGTTTTTCCCGTCACTGGGGACGGGAACTTATGCTTGCTTGTTTTCATATTTTATCTTCTAATTCCAGTTGCCCCAGAAGTGGATCCTCTCTCGTTTCCGGGGAGTTTGGAGGAAGGAAGACGAACGAGTCTTCAGTGCATGGTGTCTACAGGGGATGTTCCCATTTCCATCCAGTGGACTAAAGATGGCGAACTACTTAACCCAACAAGCCTACAGATCACGGTCAAGTCCTTCAACCAGTATGCTTCCACCCTGTTCTTCGAGAAGTTGAGACAGCAACACAGCGGCAACTACACGTGCACAGCGTCCAACCCTTTCGCTACTGACAGTCGTACCGCTGAATTAACTGTCCAGGGTAATGTTGTCATTAGTGACAGTCTAATTCCTTGTTTATCTTCTGACAGTTATAGTAGTTAATTAACTGTCTAGGCTTATGACGTATTGTTTATCCGATTACTGGATTGTTAAGTCTTTACGCTGTTTATAATTACAGATTAATAAGTTATTAAGAGATATTAGAAATGTGTAAGCACAAGAAAACATTTTTTTTTATTGTAACTGTTTTTTTATATTTAAAACGTCGAGAATTAAAACAACAACAAATCCTAAACTGTTGAATGTATATTAAGTATTCTCGAAAAGTTTGGATTTTCGAAGAAATGGAATAAGAATTTAAAGTTTTTTCTTCTTTTGTGAAAATATACATTTGTATTAGTGGCTAGAAACCGGGTTTCGATACTCGTGCTGGGCAGAGCATAGATAGCCCATTGTGTAGCTTTGTACTTAACTACAAACAAACATTTTAATTAACTATTCACGTGGAAGCGAAGAGGGATCCAAAACGAGGCTAAGAGAACAAC